AGAGATAGAGAGAGAGAGAGAGAATGTAATCGCATGTTTATGCGCGCGTGTAGTCAGCTGATCGTCACGTCGGTCCGCGTACCGCCTGCCGGTGGACAGTAAGTTACGCTGCCCCTGTCTACTATCCGTACACGGCCCGTAATTCGCTAACTATTTCTCGTTATAATTTGAAAACTAAGTTTCGGACAAAATTTTTGTAAAGGAAAAATCGTCTTAGAATTGAGTCAAAAATACGTCTTTTCAGGGACACCGGGGTTATTCTGAATCACCTTGTATAATATATTTGATATAAAACTAACAAAAAGAACTTATACATAGAGCGTGACTATGCGTCACTACGCTCAGGAACGTGCTCCGCCGATACAATGGCTTCTTGGACGTTCCCTGTCAAGGATGTGCCTTCGTCAACGGCTGGTAGCTGCGCGGTTGGCGAGTTACGTGCTATGAGGCCTGAAGCCATCGCCTTCGCGACCTCTCTCTCGAACACGGTCGGCGAGAACCTGTCGTCGATGGCTGCCAGATAATACTGTGCAGCTGCTGCTGTGCCCGGCGTAGGCGGACGCTCAAAGGTCTCTTCTTTGGCGTCGGGACGTCGACAGTCGTTGCTGAAATTGATGGCGCTTGAACGGTAGCAACGGCCGATGATACAACCGGAACATTGTGAACGATTGTATACTCCTCGCCCTCGAGTTTCGCACTTTCGTGTGAAGGTCGAGCTCAAAATCGAGGTCGTTGATGCTTATGACGCTCGTTCGAGCTTTTGTAATTTCAGAGCCGGACGAGTATAATTTTACCTTTATGTTTGGCGATACGTTTTTTTTATTCGCTATCTCGTCCATTTTTGTGATATTTTCTTCTGTACGCGGCAGGTATTCGCCGTGTATGTCCTTTGGTCTTTTGACTAATTGCCGTGGTGTTTTTTCATCAATGATTTTTTTTCGCGGCTAGATCGCGACTTCTTCTTTCTTCGTTTAATAAGTGGTGCGTCGTCGCTTTTGGTAGTATCACTATATATTTCATGCGATCCTTGTGGTTGATCGCCCGCTCGATGTACGATTTCGTGTGACTTGTTGTCAGCTGAACGTTTTATTGTGATGACTGGCACTGGTAAAATGCACGTTGACACCACCGTTGGTTTGGCTTTTGAAGTGCCTGCTGTGGACGGTTGCGATTCTCGATCGCGTTTCTCCGCTGGCAGTACGACGCGGGCTGGAAGACTCGATGACACCTCTTCGAAATCCTCGGGCAGCACTTGGCTGTCGATGCCATATGAAATTGGCTTGATTGCCCTACGCGGTTCGCCCTCCACAAAATCGATGATGAGACGAAACTGTTGGTCTATCATCGTGTCTTTCGGTATGAGATGCTTCGTGTTTATTAAAGAATGCACCTCACACATGTTTATCTCACGCCCTTTGTGCATCTTTGCGATTTTAACAACGTCACATGTTGAC